TGTGGGCGGACTGTGGACATTATTTACCATTCTGGGAAACCTGTGACTTGGCAGGGAGAGCCTGGGTATAGAATATGACGAAAAAAATTACCCTCACACATGCAATACTTTTCACCTTTTAGTACATTTTCTTTTCGAAAATTACAGTGTATCAGTTAATTTTGATTCCTTTGAAGCATTGAACGCGGGAAGGATCAGTCGTAGACGTTACTTAGATGTATGTCTTTTAGAGCGCTCAAAGAAACGGTGGGAAGCAGAGGAAGATCGCCACAGAGGAAGGGAAAGCAGCGAGCCACCATCTTTTAATAGACATTTCCTGTATTTAAGCTTATCATATGTTTTAACGTGGATATCCAGCAGAATATTTGGCGAACCTAAGGAAAGAAGATGGGAAAGCCAAAGAAAGGAAAGAAAAAGGACGTAGACTGGTGAGTTTTTTTGTCAGTAAATTAAACGAGTTTCGAGTCTGATCATTGTCACGTGTTACATGTGGAAGAATTGTCTTACCAAATAAATTTGATTGCCATCATCCAGTTTTCTTAACGCGATGGTTTATCGTGAATTACGTAACGCACATTACTTGCATAATTTGTCGTAGAAAAATTCAAACTTTAGAAAACTTTCATAAATTAATTTACATTTATATTATTCACCGTATAAATGACGGTAGTGGTGGGCAATGTTTTGACTATTCTATGAGGCCCTGTTACAGGACCTGAACAATCGATGAAATCGATAATTGATGGCAATCGATAACAATGGATGACAGTCGATATCAATTACTCGATGATGTTGATAATCAATGGACAATTGATCACAAAAATTTTTGTGATTATTGATTATCATCGATTATCAATATCAATCGATAATCGATGGGAATCGATCAATTAACATAATGGATTGTTATCAATATGCAATATCAATCGATTACCTATTCAGTCAAACATTTCAATTGTCCATTTCATCAAGTACTAATAAAGTTACACATTTTGATATCATTGCTTTTTATTTGAGTAAAAACTATCTTATATATATAACATATATTGGCAAAAAAGTAATATTTGAAATAAAGGCAACTGTCTCTCGCTATGATTCCTGAGAAGGAGAATCACTTCTGCGCTGCTTTGGCACTGTTTGCTGTGCTTGTCACCTTTGACGCCTGCCTGGAATAACTTTTTGCTACTCTGTAAATCACTCTTGGGAATTCCACACGGAAGATCGAGCTGGATGTGGGCATCTGCACAGACATATAAAGAAAGAAGAAGAAAAAGAAATAATAAGCTTAATTGTGTTTGAATGACGACTGTGTCTCAGGTCAGTTGAATCTTTGCAATGAACTTGATGCTAAATCGACCAAGTTTGCACTACTGACAACGAGACATGTTAATTGTCTTAATTACTTGTGCTGTTTTTCACGGAGCCACATAGATGAACAATTCTCAAACTTTGCTACTCAGGTTTAGAAATAATATACGATCTGCGTACACTCCCGGGATACCTGAAGATACAGAGACATGAATTTAGTGCCAATCGATGGTAATTGATGAAGTTTGCGACCTCATAAGTGTGATTATTGATTGATCATCGATTGGCCGATGCCAATCGATGCTAATCGACAGTAATTAATCGATTGTCATCAATTGATCATTTGATTTTCCAATCATTGATTTTCATTGATTGTTCAGGTCCTGCCTGTTAGGGTGAAATTCCGTCAAACGACATGGCCTTGAAACAGCGACATAGAAATAGAGTTCATCAAATGGCGACAATGGACACAAAATGGGTTAAAATATCAACAAGAACATGGCCTACTCCTCAAAAAGTGAAATGACTGTATTTGAAATTCAGACAAGGGACATTATTTTGTACCCCCCCTTTCCCTAAGAGGGTCTCTAATATTGGGTTCTGTTTGGTTGATTAGTCAACCAGGCCCCATTTGTTGAAATAGTTGGCTGGTGTTATCCACTAACAAGGTCCATAATTGTGACCAGCTGGTTGCCAATGCGACTTACAAAGTATTGACCACAGGAAAAAATAACGGATTCCCATTTTTGGATATTTTAGGGTATTTAAAGAATACCCATAAAAATCCCAAATTTGGCAAAGTGAGACAAGTCCCAACCCGGGAATTCCCAACCAAGTTCCCTGATTGGGACTTGTGTCACTCTTCCAAATTTGGGATTTTTGTGGGTATTCTTTAAATACCCTAAAATATCCAAAAATGGGAATCGGTTATTTTTTCCTGTGACAAAGAGAAGTTTGATGCTAATCACTCTTAAGGCTTAACGGGTTAAGGCAGGATGTGTACTGCCCTTTTACTCTGTCTATTAGTAATGGTAACAGGACTGAATGGAGTCCAATTTGGTCTGTACTCATACGTGTGATTAACAAAATCGGACGACCGCGTAGCAGGAGTCCGATTTGTTTAATCACGAGTATGATTACAGACTGAATATGGACGACACGAAGTTCTGTTACCAATTAATCATAACTTTAACAAAATTTGTGATATATGAGGCTCTTTTTTTAATCAAAAGACAACAAATTCTGAGTTTTTTTTGCTAGCAGTGAAAAAAAAAGCCATTTAAGCATGGCGTGATGGCGCGTACTGTCCAATTACTTAGGCATGACACGTACTGTCCTATTTAACTGTCCTATTAAGGCTGAAATCAGGGCAGTTGATGGCCAATCGGATTTAAGAATTTTGTTATAGTTATGATTCGTGCTGAAATCAGGACAGTAATAATAGCCAATCAGATTTGTTTCAATACCCAAAAGCTCACCTCATAAGTTCGGTACTCAATTCACTTTAATCAAATCTAGAACTATTGATGAATGAACTTGATATATGTAAAAGGCTTTATGGAAGTTTGGTTGACATTGTAACAGATTTGATTTCAATTCAATTTACTTTCACAGGGAGGATGATGTGCTGAATGACCTTGAATCACTAAAAGATGGTGAACCAGATAAAAAGGAAAATACTGCTAGTAAAGTTAAGGTGATATATTCATTTATTACACATTGTACTCACTATCTAGCTTCTCATTGGCTAGTAACCTACAGTTAATTTTGGCAATAAGTGCAACCTTTAGGAAGATAACTGACTAATCTGCAGGTTGTGTGCGCAATACATGATTTCCAAGAGCGATGTAAAACTACAGATGTATGTTCACCTGACAGTGTGTTTTTTCAAAACAATGTATGATAAAACAATATTATTATATTTGGTCTTTGTGATAATTATCTGGAATAATTGAGAGAAGTCTCTTGATTATGTCAAATATCACAAAATTAACCTCGTCTAATAATTGTTGAGTAATTTGCTACTCTAGCACCCTGCTATTATTTTTGTCATTAAATTATAACACAGGACCCTTTTTACAAACACTGGCTAAAAAAGGCCTAGGAAAGAATGAGAGATCCTCGATAGAAACTGGTAATACACTGTATGCAATTGTCACAAGAGTACCAGTTATTAAGAATGTGATATAAAGCCGGGGGTGATTAAATTGCATGATGGCTTTTTGTGACACTTCACCACAGATTTCATTTCTTTTGTTGAGTGTTTGGTCTTTTTTGTTTACTTTTTACTTGAACGCAGGAAAACAAACCATCTGGTGGAAGATTTCAGGGTCTAAATATAGAAGATGATGGTCCTGCTGAAGATGATGATGATGATTTAACAGAAATGGTAACAAGCTCACAAAAAAGCAAAAAACAAAAGAAAAAGAAAGATGTTGAAGCCACAAAAGAAACTGTTGAAACTGAGAGTCTTGCCACTGGTAATGTTGATGACTTACAAACTGTAGATAATGTTGTGGAAGAAAATGGAAATGGAGTTACAGATGAGCCTAGTGTGAAAACTTCTAAAAAATCTAAAAAGAAAAAAAAGGACAAGAAAGATTTTGATTTTGATCTGGAGGGTGATTCT